TATGATTTCTCCGGCCTGAGTTCATTGGATGTTTTTCCGATCTTTACCCTCCTGGTTGAAAGAGTGAGTGGTAGGGAAGTCACCTTTTTTAAGGAGAGCAAAGAGAACGTTGTTTGCTTGGAGGATTCACTGGATCCTGAAAATGTTTAAAATTGCACAAATGATTTTACAGCCAGCATGCTAATTTCCAATTGGACTGTAAGCTCTTCCTCAGAGTGCACAGCTCCTTCCAGACCTGAGGAGCTGATCCTTGCCTGCCTGGCAGGAAACTCCCAACTATGGCCATCTCCCTCTCTCTGCCCTTCATGGTTCAGCTCTAACAAATGACTTGAGTTCCCCAAACATCTAGGCCATGTCGTGCCTTTGCATATTCTGTTTTTCCTGCTTGAAAGACATTTCCCCACCTTTTCCATCTTGTAAACATGTACCTGTAATGTTCTTGGTGAAGGCTTTGTCTCCCCCTCCACCACCCAGGACTACCATCGCCAGCAGAGCCACAGCATGCGGGGTGGTGCTGAGGGACTGGAACTCCCATGAGGCAAGGGGCTGTGTCTCCACATTCTGTGCAAAGCCTCTTCCTCTCAGCTGAGGCTTTCCCAGCAACCCTCTCCCCCCGTTGTTCTGGTAGAGCTGGGCTCTCTGCACATCTTAGCAGCAAGACTCTGGTGTGTTTCCCCAGTATCAGGAGATCAAGAAACAAAAAGTCTGTAAATCCTACAAAGCACTAAGGTGGTAGTTTTGTACTTCTCTTTGTATGTAGTCCTTTGTTTAAATATTTCTGCAAGCCAGTGAAACAGGAGAGGTGACGTCAGGGGTGTTCTACCAAAGGCCTCAGTTGGTTTCTGTGGGATTCCTTCCAGACATGCGGGACCCTGGGAAAGAGTATTGACTGGTAAGATATTCTCAGGTAGCAGTTCTCAACTTAAAGCCTGTTTGGTAGTGGGGAGCTCTAGCTAGGATAGCAGTTTGGCCGCTGTAACTAAGGTCAGAGGAACAGTGACTAAAGCAAGAGCAAGGTAGAAGTCAATGTTTCTCTCTAGTGTGATAATTGATCATAAGCAGTCCTGGGCTGAGTGGCAGCTCCGGGGTGTTGGAGACCAAGGCTGCTAATGTGACGTTCTTGGATCCTCAGTAGACGGCTTCCATCTTGAGGACCAGAATGGAGGCACCATTTTCCACCAGCCACAGACTCATTCCAGCAAATGGGGTAGGGTGAAGAGGAACTGGAGGGTAAGCGCATTCCCTGGGAGGGCCCAGCAGAGAATCTGCATGCAGAACTTCTGCTCACATCACACTGGCCATAACTTAGTCGTTTGACAGCCTGCACCTCCCAGGGAGCCTGGGAAGTAGTCTTTACGTTGGCAGCTCTGTGCACTGATAAAACTCAGGGACACTAATAATAAAGGAAGAAGAAGAGAACGAATATTTGGGGGACAACTGACAGATTGTGCCACAGGTAGGACTAGGCCTAACACAGGAGGGTATGGGTCAAGTGCCTTGGCCTGTCATTGAGTTAATTCACCATTTATTGAGTACTGACTCTGTGCCAGACATTGTGCTATGCTCTGAGACCAAAAAGTAACACACAGACTCTTCCTTCAGGCTCTCATTACAGTCTTGACGGGGCAGACAGATATGTAAATGCCCAGGTTGGGGTGCTTGAGGTTCCTGGGGCAGCTGGGGCTGGCTTGGGATAGGGCATGTAGGGGGGAGGGGTTGATGAACAGTGCGGGAAGATTAATAGGTCTTTATCAAGTAATGGCGGTTGGTGTTCTCAGCTTTCCGAGTCGTCCCAAAGATATGGAGGAAGTTCACGGGGCCTCTGTGTGGAGAACTGCCTGTGGAAACTGCCAGGACCTGTTTTACGTGGGGATGGGGCTGAGCAGGCAGAAGGGAACCGTTAGTGCCATGTTCTGCTCCCCACTTGAGTCTCCATTCTTGTCTTCTCCCTTGCCCACACCCTCTTCTCTGGCCGCTTGGTCCAGTGTGCTTTTGCCTTCCCACTTTTCTTATGCCCTGCTGTTCCCTCAGCCTGGTTTGCCCTTCCTTGTCCTGTTTGCCAGTCCAGACCCTACTCATCCTGGGAGGTCTAGTTGAGAGGTGTGGCAGGCCAGGCCACAGCATTTCCCTCGCTGAGAACTCATTAGCTCTCATCCAGTCTTGCTATGGTCGTGGTATTTATTGTTCCCATTTCATAAATGGAGGCTGATGCTTCAAGAGGGTAAGCGATGTGCCCCTGGTCCCACAGCTAGGAAGAGGTGGCAGGCAGCAGAGAGCCTGATTTGCTGTCATCTCTGCTTGTTGGCCTGGGGATTCTGCTTGGAACAGCCATTTCCAGCTGCAAGGTCAGAGGAGTCTGCCTCAGGGAGGTCATCGGAGTGGGGGGAATGACGGGGGATAATGCGGAGAAAGGAATCTTCAGCTCATATGTACAGAGGGGCTTTCTTAGAATTGTCCCCCAAAACACTGAGGCTAAATCCTAGGGCCACAGACACAGTGTGACAAACTGAGATTTATACCTACGACTCTGAATCTCATGTTATTTTATTTTTTGGAAATTTAAAATATACAGAAAAGAAAACAAATAGAAAAAAGAAAACTAATAGTCTCACCACTCAGAAATAACCACCATTAATGTCCCAAGGTATATACTTCCAGTTTTTAAAGAAGAGTCACAGTTTTTCCTTAAGGTAATTTAAAATGATTTTGCTCAATAAAAATAATTCAAACTGCAAGAGAGTGAAAAAATTATCCCAGCTCCTATCATTCAGTAGTTTTTATTACTTATTCCTAAGTGATACTCATTCTAGACATCTTTTTAGGGAAACAGAATAAAGATAAACAGGCATACTTTTATAAATGGTGATCACATTCCTGTCCAATATCACAACCATTAGCCATGGGTAGCTGGTGACCACTTGAAATGTGGCTGGTTCGAATTGAAATGTGTCATAAGTGCAAAGTACACTAAGTCAGCTCTGAGCCCAACATGGGGCTCGAACTCACGACCCCGAGATCAAGAGTCACATGCTCTGAACCAGACAGGCGCCCCTAGATTTGGAAAACTTATTACAAAAAGGAATATAAAACATGTTGATAATTTAAAAATATGGATTGCTTGTTCAACTAGCAATATTTTGCATATATTGAGTTAAATTAAAAGATATTATCAAAATTAATTTCACTTGTTTCTTTTTCCTTTTTTAACATAGCTGCTGCAACTTTTAAAATAACATGTGGCTTGTGTCCATTGTTGGGCAGCAGCTGTTTTAAAAATAAAGAATCAGTAAGTACTAATGGGAAGAAGGAAACAAAAAGTGAATCTAAGGGAATTGTTGAGCTCTAGGTAAATGTGTCACCGCGTGGCATGGTTTCCTGCAAGAGTGCAGTGAAGTTGATCGGAGTCATGTTTTTCTCTTTAAGCATGTATTACCATGTTTTAAAGCACTTCCCAATTTTGACACACTGTCACTTCTCCATTGGGTTGGTTCATAGCAAGCAGTCCTGTTCTGTTCCGAAACTAACTCTTGTAGGCATTTAGTGTTCTATATGTAAATGCTCTGATCCCCACGGTCAGGCCTTTGCCGACACATCCTTCATCCCTGAGCCCTGGATTTCTTTCTTAGCTGCGTTTCATTCTAAGGAAGGGCTCCTGCTTCTGGGAGGAGGCTGCCTGCGGCTCTCGCACCTGACTGGCGTTGGGGCCCACTCCAGGCCCCTTGGCTTATGCTGTGTGTCCCTGTGTCCTCTGCAGACATCGCTTCATTGTCTTCTGCTGTAGGATGCTGCTGTGGGTCCGGCCTGAGCCTCCCCTCATGTTAAAGGCAATTTGCTTTTCCTTCTTGGACAACCGAGGGAATTCTTGAGTTCAGTAGCTTAACTCAGCCCTGGTTTGCTGTGGCTTGGCTGATCCCAGGACCCTGGGTCTCATCTCTAAGAGACTATTTTGGGCTTCCCAGTACACAGACAGAGACACTGCTGAGAACATTAGATTTGGCAGATTTGGGTCACTGGCCAGAGGACTGGGAAGGTTCTCCTTATAGCTCGCAGCCTTCAGTGCACCTACCACTCAGAAGCTCAGTGGGTGCTCCATAACTCTTTCTGGAGTTAATTTTAGATTACCTAAATAATAGGCAAATCTGTTCTCCTTTTGGGACTGCAATGTTAAAGATAAAACTAAAGGCCATTTTGGCCCCTAACTCCAGTTGAGGTCCCCCCCAACTTTGCAGCCCAGTGATAGTAGCTACACTACGTAGCTGTCTTTTACACTGTGCTTATATTTTAATACTATTAGGTCCTGTCCCAAATAGGTCAAGCTCAGGCTGGTGTATGAATTGTTCTGGGTTTATTCAGAATGTCTAGATGTGCAGATTCCCAAGAGCTACTTCTGGAGTGAGCTCTTCATTCTAATTAACAAGCCGACACAGACAGTAATGAAATTGCAACTCTAAGTAGAGTACTCTTAGGGGTTATCAGTGTCTGTATAGCTTTGAGTTTTAGGCAGAAACAAACCGGGCGCATTCACGTCATTTTGACACAAACTTGTTTTAAGAATCTGACTGTACAAGACATTGCTCCAGCTCACATCCATTTGTGAGAACACAAAAGAGCTAGGAGATTTCACTGCGTCAGTGTTCGAGAAAATACATAGTATTGTTTTATACAGATCCTGCTGAAAAATAAGTCAGACAGCTGTGTTTTCCTACGGAACTTGCACTCTCACTATATTAATATGTCTCTAGTCTTTCTAGATCCAGTAAATGTGTGACAAAGGAATGAACTATCCCCTGTCTGCGTACAAATTCTGGAACATTCTTATTTATAAACAGAATTCACTGTAAGCTGGTGCCCACTTGGACTCCCTCTAAGGCTATGAAATTCCAGAAGGGCCTTGCTGAGGGCACATAGCAAGGGCGTGGTAGTCCCGAAGTCCTTGGGGGGCTTCCCAGCACGCAGACCATTCCCAGCTCCCATTTAGCTTCTCACCTGGTTCTTTGTAGATGACATGGCAGAGCTCCTCCTTGGGGAGTCGAAGCTGGAGCAGTCCCTGAAGGAGCACCCACTGCGGCAGGGGGCCAGTCCCCGAGGCCCCAGGCCCCAGCTGACCGAGGTCCGCAAGCACCTGACCGCCGCCCTGGACCGTGGGAACCTAAAGGTACTGTGGGTGTCTGAGCTGAGGGGGGCAGTGGGGTGCTGTGAGCCTCTCTGGGGCAGTGAGCTGTTGGGAAGGACGGCCCGTGATGGACCGGGCAGTGTTGGGAGCGCACGAGTGCGCTGCTACGGCGACGCTCCTCAGAAGCAGGCCTGCTCGCCCTGCGTGTGTCGACCACCTTCTGGGGGCTTCCAGCTCACTAGGGTCTCTCTGCTGAGTCTTCAGAGACTCATTATTCTGAAAAATCTTCTCCAGGCGCTTGGAAGGGAGCTGTTGTATAGGGCCCAGAGTTCAACCTGACGCCCGGCCCACTCTAGGAAGGAGAGAAGTTAGTCAGGAGGGCCATTTACCTCTCACTTCCTGCCTCAAATATGCAGCTCCTGAGCATCCCCAGGCTGCTGTGGCCCTGGAACGGTGTGGGCTCCTCCTGGCCTGGTACTTCGGCGTGGGAGGCAGCCAGGCCGGGCCTGTCCCCCCGCCTGAGCCATGGCCCTAACCCCACGGCCCAGGAGACCTTAAGCGCTACCCTCCTGCTCCTCCCCTGCCCTGTCTTCCCGTCTCTGGACTCAGCTTTCTCTCTCACCACATACTCCTTTCTTGCTTCCTTTGAATCTCCTTTCCTCTCCATTTCTCTCCCCCCTGCCCCCGCCGCCCCCCTAACCCAATAGCTCACTTCCTGGGCTCCAGACTCTTCCCCTCCCTGAAGGCTGAGGCCTGTTCTTCCTGCCCTTCTGAGGTCACGCTCCTTACCCCTGCACCTGCCTGCACCCAGCTCCAGGCCCATCAGTGTCCTTAGCTGCCCTCCTGCTGTTGCGCAACCCTCACCGTTATCTCGTCTCCAGAACTTTCTTACCCTCCCAGACTGAAACTCTGTGCACGAGCCTCCCTGCCCCTCGGCAACCCCGGTTTACTTTCTGTCTCTGTGATTCTGACTGCTCCAGGTTCCTCAGATAAGCAGAATTGTAGAGCATTTGTCTCTTTACGACTGGTTTAGTTCATTAACGTAACATCCTCAAGGTTCATCCCTGTTGTAAGTGTGTGTCAGCATTCCCTTCCTTTTTAAGGCTGAGTAATACTCCACTATAGGTTTATACTGGACTTTGTTTATCCCTCAGTGGGCCCTGAGGTTGCTTCTGCCTTTTGGGACTTTGATAACGCTGCTATAATGCAAACTTTATTGATTTATTTATTTTAGAGGGTGGGGAGAGAGAGAAGAGGGGGAGAGGGAGAATCTTAAGCAGCCTCCATGCCCAGTGCAGAGCCTGATGTGGGGTTTGAACTCCCAACTCTGAGATCATGCATGACCTGAGCCGAAATCTAGAGTTGGCCACCCAACCCACTGAGCCACCAACGTGCCCTGAATAATGCTGCTGTGCATGTGGGTTCATGATATCTCTTCCAGATCTTGCTTTCAGTTCTTTTTGGGCATATACCCAAAAGTGGAATTGCTGAATCATGTGGTAATTCTGTGTTTAATTTTTTAAGGAGCCTCCATACTATTTTCCTTAGCAGCTGCACCATTTTACATTCTCACCAACACGAGTTCTACTTTCACCACATGCTTGCCAGCATTTTTTATTTTCTGTTCTTTGGTATTGTTTGGGTTTTGGATAGTAGCCATCCTATTAGTTTTGGGGTGAGAGCTCACTGTGGTTTTGCTTTGCATTTCCCTGATGATCAGGGATGTTGAACATCTTTTTGTGTGCTTACTGGCCATTTGTATGTCTTCGGAGAAAAATCTATTCATGTGCTTTGCCCGTTTGTTATTTGGGTTGGGCCTTTATTTTTGAGATGTCCTTCCTCCTTGTCATCTGGTCACCTCCTTGGCCCTGGAGCATTTGGGGGCCTGGGCAACATTTGTATAAGTGAGTGTTAGTGTTTGTTAGTTATATGGTTGCAGGCTTCTGGAAATGCAGGCAGAAAGCCTCCTTTCTGAAAGGCCTTTGTGTATGTCTGTCTCCACTGGACACATTTCCAGGCCCCTCAAGCTGGCTTGAGAGCATCAGTTAATTATTTTATATTATTTTTTTAAAGATTTTATTTATTTATTTTAGAGATATTGTGAGTGGGGGTGGAGGGAGGAGTAGGAGAGGGAAAGGGACAAGCAGACTCCATGCTGAGCACAGAGCCTGACACAGGGCTCAATCTCATGACCCCAAGATCATGATCTGAGCTGAAATCAAGAGTCGGATGCTTAACTGACTGAGCCACCCAGGCACCCCACGCATCACTTCAACATAGGAAGGCCAGTTTACTAAGCGCTTGGTAAATTTAAGTAAATTGGGCCTTTAGAACACATAGTCTCCCTTTCCCTGTTTCTTTCAAAGGGCCATGCCATACTTCTCTTCAGAGTCAGTTTGTGATACTGGTTGGTCCTCATCAGTGAAAAAGGGTAGAGGGACAGTGGACACGTGGGCTTTGCTTCCTAGACTCAGGCATCCATTCAAGAGGCCAGAGGGTGTGGCTGTGGGAGAAAGGTTGAGGACCATGCTCCAGCCCTGACATCTGGCTAGTTTCTTTTCCCCTTCCAGATCCCTGACTTCACTGTGAAAATGAACTTTCTGGTTTACCAGGTGCTGATGGTTTTTTGCTCTCCACCCAGTGTAGTAGTAAGAACATGGAATTTCAAGTTAGAATTCTTGAGTTTTGTGTTCCAGTTCTAGATTTGTAAGCTGTGTGATTTAGCGAAGTTACTTACCCTCTCTGAGCTTCACATTTCTCATCTATAAGCATAGGTAGCTCAGGATTGTCTTAAGGCTCGGATGTGGAAGCTCTTTCACAACTTTGCAGCACCAGAGACTTGCCGTTTACTGCAATTTTATTGGTTCTACCTAGAGTTTTTTCTCCTGTGGTGGCCATTTTTTAGTTTCCTCTACCCTATAGAGAATGTTCCAAAGTCGCCCAGCTTTCGCATGGGTGTGTCACCCCACTAGCTGGCTAATGTGAAACTTGTTCTCTGTTTGACCTAAATCAGTGCTTCTCCTGGTGGGGCGCTTGCCCAAGCCCAGTGCAGACAAGGTGCCCACAAAATACACGTGGACTGAGGCAGGAAGGACCAGAGCAAGATAGCAGTGTGGTGGGGCAGAAGGAGCCCAGCCTGGGAGTCAGGAGACCTGGGAAGCAGGTCTCCCAAGTCAAGTCAAGAAAACTGTGTCTCTCATGGGCACAGCAGCACAAGCACTGTTCTGGGGCCAGTCTATGCCCTCTGCAGCAAGTGGCCTCCATGTGGGGGTCACCAACGACACTTGCTTGGCAAGGCTCTCTCAGTGTCCACACTGTGCCTTTGCACTTGGAATTTTTTTCAGACTCTTGCATCTTTTCCATCCAGCCTTGTAGTTTACTCTTCTTAAAACAAAAACATAAATAAAAACTTAAAAATTGTTTTTAAGTTGCATTAAACATCTTTTTCTTTGGGTAACCAAAAATATCTAATGCAAGCTTTGTCCTCATAACCATCTTTAAGTGTACAGTTCAGTGGCATTAAGTACATCCACATCGTTGGGCAGCTGTGGCCACTGTCCACCACCAGATTGTGCCCAGTTAACGCTAACTGCTGCTCCTCTCCCCCTTCCTTTTGCTTTTAAGCCAGTGGTCCCAGTGCTGGAAGGCTCAATTAAGGTAGGAAGGAAGATGCAGCCTTGTCTGCCAGAAAGCCTTTTCTCTGGGTGGAGAATCCCTGTGGTGGGTCTTTTTTCATAACTCTTTTTCTCTTAAGTCTGGTTTGATTTCTCTGTTTGCAAATATAATTCTAATTTCTTGCATTTTAGTTTCGCTCTCTCTCTTGGGCCATTCAAAACCCTCTTTTTCTGTTCCTTTCAGGGCGCCTGGCTGGTTTAGTCAGACCATGCCACTCTTAATCTTGGAGTCATGAGTTCAAGCCCCACGTTGGGCATGGAACCTACTTAAAAAATAATAATAAAATTTAATTTAACTTAAAATACCCCTTTTGCTCCCTTCATTCCCTTTGCCCATTTTACCCTCTCGTCAATGCTGCCTATTGCCCCTGCCCCCTTTCAAGAAATACCTTATGACTTCACTTATATGTGGAATCTAAAAAAACCAAAACAAATGAATAAACAGACAAACAAAAAGCAGAAACAGACCCATAAATACAGAGAACAAAGTGATGGTTGCCAGAGGGGAGGGAGTTGAGGGCTGGGCACAACAGGTGAAGGGGAGCAGGAGATAGAGTTATGGAATGAGTGTGTCCTGGGAATAAAAGGGGCAGCACAGGGAATATAGTCAGTGGTATCATAACAGCCTTGCAAGATGTAAGGTGACAGATATAAGGTGACAGATGGTAGCTACACTTGTGGCGAGCACAGCATAGCTTATGGAGTTGTCCAGTCACTATGTCGTACACCTGAAAAATATGTAACATTGTGTGTCAACTACACTCAAAAAGAAAGAAAGAAAGAAATGCTCGGAAGCTGGCAATCCTGGCGGACAGCCGCTTTGCCATGCTCTGGCTGGCTAGCTGGCATTGCCCACCCCATCATGGTAATAGGGTACAGAGCAGTGCAGCTTCCTGGCATGCTCCTATAAGCAGGAAAATCTAGCCTTGCATAGCTTGGGTTCCAAGGAACAGGCCTGCGAGAGGCTGAGAAATCTGTTTCCTAATATAGCAGGCTGGGCTGTCTCCTCTTTTCCTGCTGATGAGTGCTGGCCAGGGAGAAGGGCAGAGGATGAGGGTGGGGGGTGTGGACTAGGGAAGCCAACCTTTCCTGCCCGGAGAGGAATGAGGACCCATCAGAGGACTGCTAGAGCTTGCAGCCTCCCGGAGCAGAGGGGACGGGGGCTCAGTCACCTGAATGAGCAAGAATGGCTCAGTGGGAAAGGTTAGACCCTGGAAAGAAAGCAAGTCCTGGGTTTTGCACCAATTTAGAAAACCTCTGTCTTTGGGTTATTTGGGTTATAGTCTTATGGCACAGCCATAGTGCAGCAGGCAGGACACACCAGGTTGTCCTTTTTTGAGACAGGTATTTGTGTGTCTTGTTCATAAAGCGTCCCTTCCGTTCTTGGCCCATCACAGCCAAGGACACGGGCCTGCGGGGAGCCTGTGTTCTCTTTTGTTTTGGTTTATGGCAGCTTTCTTGAAGTAGAGCTCATATGCCATGTAATTCTCCCATTTAGAATGTACGGTTCAGTGGTTTTTAGTATAGTCACAGACTCGTGCAGTCCTTACCCTATTTTAGAGGATTTTCATCACCCCCAAAATAAACCTGTACCCATTAGCAGACACCTGCCATTCCCCCCACCCTCCAGCCCTAGGCACACACACTAATCTACTTTCTGCCTCCATAGCTTTGACTGCTCAGGCCATTTCATGTCCATGGAAGCACACAACATGTTGCCTTTTGCGATCGGCTTTTTCACCTGCCGAGGTGTTTCCGAGGGTCATCCCTGTTGTAAGCGTGGGGCAGAGTTTCCTTCCACACTGTGGCTGAGTTATACTCCTCTGTGAGGCCAGACCACATTTTCCTTATCCATTCCCCCGTCAGTGGGCATTCGGGTTGTAGCCCCTCCTGGGGCCATGGTGAACAGTTCTGCTGTGAACCTTCGTGTGCGTGATTTCGTGTGGAGAGCCCCAACGCTCTGTGGCAGCAGGTGGCGGGTCCCCGAGGGAGCATTACTCGCAGCATTGTAGGAAAATGTTTTTCTCTCTCCTTTTCCTTCTAGTCAGAGTTCCTACAAGAATCCAATCTGATCATGGCCAAGTTGAATTATGTGGAAGGAGATTATAAGGAGTCTCTCAACATCTATGCCCGGGTGGGCCTGGATGACCTGCCGCTGACAGCCGTCCCTCCCTACAGGCTGCGCATGATTGCGGAAGCCTACGCCACCAAAGGTGAGCCCATGCCTTTCCTCCTGGGTGGCTGTCCCCCGGGGCCACGCTGCATGGAGCCCACAGGCCGACCCTGTGCCCTGGCTCAGCACCTCCCAGCAAGGCTTTGGGGTTGGACCCACAGCACATCGCATGGTGTGGGCCCTGCCACACATCGTTCCCTCAGACCCTCAGTTCCTCAGCAGGATTCCAGTAAAGGGTTCTGATAATTAATATGCAATGAAAGCAGGATTTTGTTTTTTACTATAATTAAGATACTGCCCAGAACAGGCCAAGATTCTTGTCATATGGCCCCTTCGCGATGTGGCTGACCAGTGTTATTCATTAATGCTGCCTCTGGGCTAAGTGAATAAAGGTGGATTGGTCCCTGCGAATGGCAGTCACTGTAACAGCCAGTGATCTGGTGTTCAGTTGTGTGCCTGGGGGCTCTGGGCCTGGAAGGAAGCGTAAACGTCAGCCTGGTTGCCCAGGAGGAGCTTGCATCCCCACGTGAGAGGACAGTCCCACGGAGAGGACGATGACAGATGCAGGACACATACATTGTTTGAACTTTCCAAGCTGCCACTTCCTCATCTGTGAAATGGGTATAATCACATTCACTTCATAGATTTATTCTAAAGGTTCAGTCAAATAACGTATGTAAAGCACTGGCCATGGTACCTGGCGCATACTAAATGTTTATCAAATGATATTTTAAAATATCAGCCCCAAACAAGACAGCAGATGGTAAAAGTCGGGCATGGCTAATAGCTTTTTAGAGGTGAGAGAGGTCACACAGGCTGGCAGGGCCAGGAAGGCTTCCTGGAGGAGGAGGAGGTTTTGAATATGAATTTGAAAGGCCACCTGAAGAAAGGGAGCATCTGAAGCAGCTCTGCTCCCTCCTGCCACCTACTGTCCAAACCATGCATTGTGACTGACTGTGGCTGGCACCGAGGCCAGGGCCCTGGGCACTCCTGTGCTGTGGGCTGTCTGACTGGGTTTTCCTGCGCAATGGTGAACAAAGACCCAGCCCGAGGCACACTTCAGAGCTTTGTGTCAGGGGTGACATATTCAACCAGTTCCCTGGGGAACCTCGAGTTCTGCCAGGTTCGTCTAATTAATCTTCTGAACCTTCCTGCGGCCCGGGGGAAGACGCTGTCACTCTTGGCGGAACGCACTGGTGCTTTGGCGGGCACAGTCCCCTGAGGCTGCTGGAGGGGTCCTGGGGGCTCTGCAGGCTGTGCTGGGCTGTGTGCCACCTTCCTGCTGCCTGCTTCCTCACCTCACATGACTTGGGCTTGTGGGAGTTTGTGTGTGATTTGGGGCCAGAAACAATATCCTGCAAGGAGAGCAAAGCTTCATCGGGCAGTCGCCGGGCACCCGGGGCCCAGTGGGCTGTTGCCGGGAGTGTTTTGCTAGATGCGGAGGGGGGATGGCTCTGGGGCCCACTTCACAGCAAGAGCTTGGGCCCTCACATCAGCTCTAAGATGGACTGGACCCCGCAGCCCTTTGTAGGCAGCATATTCCACTCAGCCTCGTGGCTGCAAGTGGCCAAGGAGGCTGGGAGACGTGGTTGCTGGGGCTGGGCCCCCGTCATACGTGGCTAGCCGTGGGCCCCCAGCCATGGTGCTGAGGCACTTGGGACACGCTGGCTGGCTCCCAGGAGGCCTGGTCCTGGCTGGCTTCCGTGGGCTTGCACAGTGTCACACACATACGGGAGAGGGAAGGGTTGCTTGTGCCAGAGGAAGTGGCTCTCAGCCCAGGGGGGTCCCAGCCCCAAGAGCTGATGCTGGCCAGGGGAGAGGTGGTGCGGAGTGGTGGCTCTGAGTACCGGAGCTTAGCCATCTGCCTGCTCCATTGCCCACCGCCACCACGTACTGGCCCTGTGCCTCGGTTTCTCCGTCTGTCCAGCTCTCCTTGGGTTGTCCTGCAGATTCCACAAGCTCCTACGTATTGAAGACCCAGCACATAGTGAACATGATCTAAATATTAGCATAAAAGCTGAGTGTTTGATGGGGCACCATAAGAAGTGACTTACAGTAGCCAAAATACTATCCCTTTAATTTGTGGAGATGCCCAAAGACGGGCCAGCTCTCTGAGGAGTTCAAGATGCTCTTGGTCCTAATTCTGTGTAGCAGCACTCTTTGGTTCCTCTTTCTTCTTCAAGGTCCTTGAGAACTTTCCACGAGAGACTGTGGACAAACATTTGGTGAATGCCATTGTACTCTGTCGTGAGCCACAAGCCTGCTGGTGCCTGAGGGAGGGCTGGCGTCGTCAGCTCAGCATTTCCAGCGCTTTTGAAATGGCTGCTGACTTTGCCAAATTGAGACCATCCTGTTAAAAATGTGGCTTCCTGGCTTCTTTAGGAAGAAGGGAAGGGCAAGCCTGGGTTGGAGCTGAGTGCAGCTGACCCCAGGATGGGGCATCCAGCATGCACCTCTCCCCCGGCCACCACGGTCTCCCGAGGTCTGACTGGACCAAGGTTTTCAGCCAGAGCCTGGGATTATTACTCCCACATCCGCGCTTCCAGTCGTGGCTGCGAGCTCTTCCCCTGGCCAGGTAATGGTAGCCTTGGCTTATTGGGAATCCACAGCCAACATCATTCCTCATCAGTTAGAGCTTTACTGTCTCTGAAATCCTCCAAACCTGTAAATTTACAGACAAGGGAGATGAGACTGGGCGAGGTTAGTGGAATGCCCACTAGGTGCCCTCTATTTGGATATCTCAGCCAGTCTTCACCACCACCCTAGGAGGTGGCCTCTATTATTCTTTCCATTTTACAGATGAGAAGACCAAGGCACAGGCAGTTTAGATAAGCTGTCCAGGGTCCTGAAGCCAGGAAGTGATTGAGGCAGGACTCGAGGCAGAGCCCTCGCACTCCTAGTGAGAGGCAGAAGTAGCCTCCATCTAAAGCCCATGTTCTTAACCATTCTGCTCTGTTGGCATGTGGATCAGAGCATGCTTGGGCCAGGTGAGGTTTCTTCATGTAGAAAACATTCAGATCGCTAGAGGATACTCTTGATTTGCACATAGACCCCTCTTGGCAGCCTCACCTTCGTTGTTCTTCCACCATAATTCCTGCTCCTTGCCCAGATTTCTTCCTGTAAATTATGTACCTCCAGCTCACATGTCCTGTCTTCTCTGACAGCCTGTGGGACTCACCTGTTCAGAGTCGGTCAGATTCGCTGCTCAGTAGATCAGTAGGTGATGTGAGAATCGTACTAGCATCAGTTGTCCCGGTATCAGCCGCCCCTGTGAGTTCACAGCCGTCTGTGAGTTCCTCTAAAGGAGGAGCTGTTTGTTTTGTTTGTTTGCCATCCTCACAGCTCAGCGCAGGACTTGGCACGTAATCAGTGCTCAGTTATGGAGTGGAATTTGTACAAGTTCCCTTGGTGGCATTTTTACCGAGATGCCCATCATGTCATTCAGGTGATCCGGGCACCTTCACTCCTAGCCTGGCATGGTGAGATGCGTTTTCTTTGCAGGTGACATACCGGGCACATTTCGATGATTCAGAGTCCTTCTCTGCCGATTATGGGCAATACCTCTGTGAGCATGCTGACGTCACACTGTAACAGAGCCCGATACGGACTTCTTTCTGAAAGGTTGTACATTTCAGTTCATTTCCATGATCAAGGACTTCCAAAGTGGATCTCAGCTCCCCCCACAATCTCCTCAACTCCTTCCTTCCGTCTTGTAAATCTAAGCAGACAAACAGAGAGTGGGAATCGAAATGGAGAAACTCTTTAGCTTCTGGTGGTGCTGATTTAATCAAGTGAGTAGGCATCTTTGCTCTGGGATACAGATTGAAGTAGCCAATGAAATCTCCAGGACACCAAGCGGCCACAGATGTTCTTTTCACAAGTAGGAAGGCTGGGGAATAGTGGACACATGGCCGCCGTCTATTTTGGGACTTAGATCTGCTGGACATGGGATGACTTTCCGCAGATAGGCCAGTGGGAGCTGGAAGTGGCTTCCCAGATATGGCCTTTATGAACAGCCTTGGTATATATGCTCTTGTCTCACAGAGACCAAAAACTCACTGGCTCCAATATAAGGGAGTCCTGGAACTGACCGGCTGGTCACAGCTGGTGGGGCAGCTGTGTTCTCGGAGGTTCTTATTTCTCCCCATCCACTAGGGTGCTGTCCTCATCTGTGTGATTGAAGCTGGCGTGCTGGCTTGCCGCATCTAATGGAAAGGGGGCATAGAGGGAGACGTCAGGGGTGAGCAGAAGAAGTGCATGTTGGTTCTGCTGACAGCCCACTGGAGAGAGGTTACTCTAGCACCATACATAGCTACCAGGAGCCTGGGAAAAAGAAGACTGGGGGCTCACGTAAGTCTCTGATTAGACATGTCCAATACAGCTTGGTCTCTCAGCCAGACATCTGTAGAAGGGAGCAGGGAGAAGGAAGTAGCCAGCTCTCAGGTGAATGAAGGGGACGTGGAGGACCTGAGGCTCTGGTGCCCAAGAGGAGGGAAATTATGAACCTGGAAACAGTGGCCTCGTATTAAGCTTCCTTTCTAGATCACACGGTAGGATGCAGAGAAGGACTGATGGCAGAGGGTCAGCGAGGCCTTCCCAATCATCCCTCATACGAACACTTTCTTTTCCCACTGGGGACACTGTGCCCGAAAGGCGAAGGGACTTGCCCGATGACGCCCACCAAGCTGCAGGCAAGGCCAGGAGGGGGTAGGAAACCTTCCTGTCAAACTGCGTGACCTCTGTGCCAGGTGGAGAAGGCGGCATGGTGTTGGGGAGCTCTATGGAGCCTCCCATTTTCTCTCTTCCTCCTTTGCTCCTGGGTTTGAAATTGTGCCTTTGATGCCTTGGTTAAGAGCCTGGGGTTTTGGAGCCGGACTGCCCAGGTTTGATCTCTAGCTTTGTCACTTAGTAGCTATAAGATCTTGGGCAAGTGACTTTCACCTTTCTGGGGCTCAGGTTTTTCATCTATAAAACAGAGGTAATAGGAGTCTCTATATTATAGTGTGATTGTAGGGAATGAGGGGGTGAAGTTCTTAGCAC